ATATATATATATATTAATTACACTAAATCCTTTCATTAAATTAATATCTGATTAACATTACACAAAGCCGAATTTCAGCAATCCAAGTTTACACGGATTCGGATTTCAGTAATCCGACTGTTACTCTGATTCGGATTTCTGAAATCCATGGCATATAGTTTTATCCATATAATTTCTGGAAGGTTTTTTTGGTCCAGGTCTTTAATGTGCAAATATATTTAAGGAAAAAACTTTACAAAGGTGGCCACTTTGCATATAAATTCAACGCCTTGGGGCTACTGGACTAATTAATCTCAAAACAGTTTTGAAATGTGCTTGCTTTTTTAAATGGTTGGTCCATATTTACTTATATGACTATTAGTTTAATTTAATTATTTTGGAACACCAAAGTGATGTTTCTAAACAACAAATTAAAGTGCAAATGGTGACATTGGAAAGGGCGAACTACAATTTACCCCTCGAGTTTTGCCCTGATCTACGATAAACTCCCCGAGTTTGAGTGATACTACCATATACCCCTATTTAGGACGGGATTAAATATTAAAAATGACAAAAATGACCCACCCCGATTTACATGCACTTAATTTTCTTTTCTCCTTTTTGATTTGGTTTTCTTTATTTTTTTTATCATTAAAAAGAAAAACTACTTAAGTTGTCATTTTAAAATTTAATCATAACAAGTTAATATATGAAAGTTAATCTATGATTAATAATATAAGCTTATTATGATTTAAAAAAGGGTATTTTTGACCATTTACACAAAATTGACGAGAGTGTTTATATGTTAAGCGGGTATTTTCTTGAAAAGGGTATATTTTCTTAAAATATATTTATACTGTATAATCTAAAAATGTAGATTAAAGGGTATTTTTGACTATTTACACAAAATTGACAAGAGTGTTTATATGTTAAGCGGGTATTTCATAATTCGACTATGAGTTAAGGGGGTATATAGTAGTGTTACTAAAACTCAAGGGGTTTATAGTAGATTCAACCAACACTCAGGAGGTAAAATATAGTTCGCCCCATTGGAAAATGGTAATTCATGTTCAAAGATGGCATGGGTAAATTTCCTTGAAGGTGGAATTCACGTACGACTAATTCTTTCATTCATTTCAAGGTATTGTTGAATAATCCCCTTTGATGTAGATAGATTTCTTTTGATTCGAGATGGATAGTTCTTCGAATATACAATTCAGTGCTGATTTTTTTATTTTTTTCCTTTTATGTGTTGGAAAGTAAACATACAACTCCCTTTATACTCCCTAATTTATGGAGTATATTATGTTTGTTTGAAGCAAAATATGCCTGATAAATATGACTCACACTTTGATGACTCAAATTTGGTACCAATGACGAATTTTCATTTAATTTTTAAATTCTTTCTCTTAATTTGCTCAAAAAAGCACATGTAAATGGTGACTATTTTATTAGTACTAAACTTGAATGAAATTACATAGAAAGAAGAAACAATTCTGCATTTTCCGAAAGGAAGTAATAATCGTTTTTTGTGACACTAGGATATGATGAAAAAAAGTGGGTAATGTGACTATAACCCCCTTTAGCTTACCAAGTACACTGAGAAATGAATTCTGCAACAAATTGGCCAAAATAATATATTGAATCTTCTTCTCTATGTTTCAAAATAATTGTCTAATTATTATATTAAAAATTAATATTATAAATTTAATAATTATTTTTAGGACAGAAATAGTATATATAATTAGGAAGCTTACAAGCTCAATTTGCCATCCTCAAATACTATCTCCGTCCTAAAAAAAATAGTCCATATTGAGTTTTAAATTTTGTATTATTTTTAATACAAATTTCTAAACTCAATGTGGACTTTTTTTTTTTTTTTGGACGAAGGTAGTAACATAAACCACACTCAGCTTAATTTTCCATTCAACCGTTACATTATTTGCTAAACTCTTCGAACCAACATTAATCAGCTAATCGATATAGGGGGCAGACTGGCATCACCTTTTTGTTATACTTTAATCTGTTTTTAAAGAGGAATTTTGACTCAAATCATGAAACCACACTATACATATGGAAATTGAGAAATATCTTCCCAACAGCAACTTATAAAACGTGAACTTAGCATCTCCACTGAAATATATTGGAATCCGTGATATCTGTCTTTTGAAAAACACATTTAAGCATGTACATTGCGGAAATGAAATAGAATGATAGATTACCATAGATACAATATAGAATATATATATATATATATATATTGATAGATATCTATATTCTATATTGTGTCACACAGACAATATATATATATATATATTCTATATTGTGTCACACAGATAATTTCTTATTACTAATGTGGTTTATATTTAGTAAATACTCCACTGTTAATTCTTCCATTTCATCGTAATAGTTTATTTTATTAAACTATTTTAGCGCAGTTGGAAATGTGAAGTTATTAGTCCACTTTCTCAGTCTTGTTTAGAGTTATAAGGTTATTTCCAAGGTGTAGGCAAGAGATCTTGGCCATAGACAAATTACCACATAAATAGACAATCGGAGATAATATATGATCTCCTAGTAGGGATTAACCCATTAATGAAGTACGATGTAATTAATTACTGATCGCCTTTTTTATCGACATTTTGGGTCTTGACTCTTTATTTTACTATAGGGAAAAAAAACGGAGAGACTATAGTTTTAAACTCTATTACTCTCTCCGTCTCATAATTATTATCCAGTTTGGATTTTTATTTCTAGTTATGGGACGGAGGGAGTATTATATTAATGGTAATAGTAGTTCACTTTGTTAAACTCTATTACATCGCTAATTTAGTATTATTTTTTAAAAAAAGATTGAGTACTATTGTAGATAAGCATGCCAACTGCAATGGAGAGTGCAGACAGACAAATGATTGTCTAGGTCATCTCTTTGTTCATTGTCTGATGATCACCTTTACCGGCACATATCTACCTTAATTAGTTAGTAAACCTTGGATATTCGAACAATGCACTTCAATTCATCATTACACCAGATACCACCAATTTATCATAATTGATGACTATATCTAGTTATTGCAAAATTCTGGTCTAAAAAAATAAGAATTGGTGTTTGAATTATATAATTATTACGTATCTGATTGCTGAAATCGTTATTCTTATTAATTCGGGTTTGAATCCAGTAAGTTTAATAAGAGGCAAAGTTTTTCCAATAAATATTTTTAAAAAATGATACAGTATGTTTGATTTTGGCGGCCAACTTTGTTTAGAGTTATAAGGTTAATTCCAAGCTAAAATGGTTTTGGAGCTCAGTTCATCAAATTTGTCAGGGGCATGTTCTATCTATCTAAATTCTTCACGTAGTGTTTTATGTTGATAAAATGTCCAAAGTAGTAGTTGAAAAGTCTAGTAATAGAAATGCTTGATTGGTCACAGATTGATACTAGCTCTTTTCCGACCCATTTTAATCGAGTATGGAAGGAGCACTTATTTTTTTCCGTCCCATTTTAACATGCTTTGAACTCAGATGAGATCTGCCGCGTTGATTGTCTGAATTGACAACAATTCATATGTCACTGCATTTTGATGAATCGAATCTGTGATTATTACGTGTTTTCTGTGCAACTATATAATACATTGTAACTTGTGACATTGTGTTATTGCGCTTAATTATTACACTTGATTTAATCCATACAAGGAAAATGATATACTCCCTCTGTCCCAAAATTATTGTCCAGTTTGAGTTTTCACTTTTAGTACAATTTTTATTAAAAATGAAAATCTAAACTGGACAATAATGTTGGGACGGAGGAAAGTACTATATTTCATGTGGCATTGTGACTGAAAGTCAAAATAACCTCGACTCTCTTCTTCAAAAAAAAAAAAAAAAAAATTCGACTCCCTTCGTCCCATAATAAAGAGACGGTTAATAGTTGTCCCTTGTATCGTATAGTGTATATGTTCATAACGTGATTGGCGATTTCATTTCGGATCTCCATAACGTTCTCCATTCTGTGTATCCAAACTAAAATTAAAAGACCAGGGAAAGATTTCCAAGGTTGTTGACTTGCAGAAAAACAGGAAAATGAGTCTCCAGGCTTAATTTACTCAGGGTCAGTCTCTGTTGTCATCGGGCTATTCAGACAACTCCGGATTCTCGTTCCTTGAAGCTTTCCAAGGTTTCAGCATGGAAGCAGTTGCAGAAACCTGAGACCATGAACATGATTTTGACATTTCTAGCCTGCCACAGAACATTGTATATGCATAATTTACCAAATATTGAGCCTTAATTTTAATCCAGAAACAGGAAAATCCACATGGAACCATTTCCGGAAGGAGATATAAAAATCATTTCTCTCTGATTTCTGAGTGAGACCAGATATCCTGTCCAAAAAGGGCAAAAAGAGAGAATATTTTCAGATAGGCAATTTTATTTGATCAACTTCGGCCCTGTCCTGCCCTGTCATGTCATTTGATGATCAATGTACAGGTGATGAACGCAAATTGAGGAAGGACAGAAAATGTGAGTTAGGCTTATATAGTCCTAATCATTTGCCAAAACCTAGAGGCTTACAAACAACGTTACAACGACTAATCGGCCTGAACTGAGAGATGAGATCAGGCCTTTTCATTCCAGGAATAAGGTCATTGAAAAATGCAGTTCATTGAGCTATCAAAGACTTTTTATCATTGTGAAAATTTCAATCAAAACAAATGATTTCAGAACCAGCAGTATTCCAAAAACTTTTCTAAAGACGGATATTAGACGGCGCATTTGTGTAAAAGGCAACAATAATCGCATGCTGGATGTCCCCTGTCAAAAGAAGCATGAAGATTTAAAGAGATTGTCATGATAAAGTACTATCTATACTCTTTTTTTTTCTGAGATGGAGCACATTTTTAATGATTTCTTCATGAGAATTCTGTGGAAAATGAGTTTTTCATGTATGTATTGCCAGAAGAATGAACAAACCTCTCTACAGCGCACAATTTGCTTGCAGTAAGAAAACACAAAACGAAGTCAATTCCAGAAAATATAGTATTGAAACAGATCAAAACAATGTTGATTTTCAATATATTGAACATTACAGATCAACAAATGTACAAAAACCAGCTAACAACAGAACATAAGTCTGAAGTTGTTCCCACTGTTTTTGCAGATACATAATGTAAGTTTGAAGTTCATCCATGAATTCTGGTGAAAAAAGAACATTAAACAGTAATAGCATAGTATAACAGGAAGAGATTAAAATTCAGTAGCAAAAAGCAATAAACAATTTAGATCTTCATAAGGTCTTCGAACGTCTTCATGGCTGGAGTAGGCAACCCAAGAAGCACATTGATGCTTTTCCTTTCTTTACCATGGGATAAGAAAAGACTGACTTCCTTTTCAGGAAGAGAAACAGGCCCTGATAAGATTGGTTCTCCCCACCCGAAATCGGTTGTGTGGAATGCGAGCTTAGACCATGTTGTGATCAGCAGGGTTGCAGTCAAAGAAGGCCTTAATCTGGTTGTTTCAAAGTAGTCTATTGCAGATCTCATGTAGCTGTCTGTGGTCATCTGGATTGAGTCCTGGACTAATTTTACTGCATAAGACAGGGGATTCTCGACCAAATCGCCTGCGCTGCAGAGTGAATTCGTGAGCACGATTCCATTCCCGAAGTAGCCTGTTGGAATTGGTGGAACAAATCTTGATCTCCCATCAACAGCAAAGAGCAGTTTTGTCTTCTGTTCAGGTTTCATCCTCAGTGCCTGAGTTCGAGCTCGCCAGATGAACGCCGAAAGCACTTCGAATGTGGTGCATTTGGCTAATACCCCATCTTCCATGGCAATGAATTTCAGTTTTTCAAGCTTTTCAGGATCAAAACAGAATGACTTGTACAGCATTTCCTCCTTGTAGAGTTCATTAGTGTTTGAAATGTCTTCAATTTCTTCGAATTCATCGTGTTGAAATTCTACCTTGGGAGGGATTCTGGATTTCAGGATTGTTCTATCCATAAATGGAGGGATTTTTAGAGGCAATCCTCTGGCTACTTCACCCCATGAATTGACAAACTCCATTGCACCAATCCCATCAAACATGCAGTGGTTCATGCACAGTCCAAGAACAAATCCTCCACACCTGAACTTTGTCACCTGAAATAATTGATCAAAGCTGGTGAAACTTAACAAATAGAAGCCATACAAGCCACCAGTAATCTGTTTCTCAATGCTAAATCAACCTCCAAAATTAGAATAATATCTCTTATTAATAAAAGCCTGTTCTTTGGTGAAAACTCAGAAGATGCTGGAAAGAAGTTCTAACCTGAGCAGCCAAAGGAGGGATCTCAAGGATGTTTTTCGCGCCTGGAACGTCGTAAACAAGCTTCCCAAGAGTAACAGGATCAGGCTTTGTATTGTCACCTATGTCTTCAATGTTACAATCTGCTTCAGCCTCAACAAAGACGGCTCCTTCCCCTGCACAATTAACTGCAAGCTTTCCTTCATTGCTGATGGTCAATCGCCCCGCGAGCGGGTAGTAGTGAACAAGAACCTTTGACAGTGCATCCTTGATCACTTCAACAGCTCTTTCATTCCCTAAATCATTGGATTTGAAGCAATAAATCGTTCGAACAATCACCGCGATGTTCTGATCAAGGTTGGAAAGGAAATACTGCTCTTTTGGTGTATCTTCAGCTGGAGGGATCAAAGTTGGCAGTCCTTGTTTGACAGACAGTTCAAAAGCATGGATGTTACCATTCTCCATTGCTCAAACAAAAATCCTCTGGAAAAAAAAAATGACAAAAGTCCTGTTTTGAAGAAGAAGAAGAAGAAGAAAGGCTATGTCAGGTGATTTTTGAGTCTTCCAATCATGCTAAATGCATCAGTTTAGAGAATAAATCTCATGACTCATTCACAACTTAAAGTACTCAAAAACAAAAACAAAAAAAAAAAAGCATAAAATAACAATCTGAAAATGTAGAAGTTTTACCCGTAATCAAGACTTTAAAACCGCAGGTGATGATCAACTGATCTATGGTTATACTAAAACTGAGAATGTCATGAGTTTGGAGTAAAGGGGAGGAGATATATAGAAGGAGAATGGCTTGTAATTTCTAAAGATAGTTAAGTTTTGGTTAACAAAGATTTCCCTATGATTGTGATTGATTTGTTAAATTTTTTTTAATTGAACTTAAGAAAAAATAATAATAATAATAATAATAATAGTTTGTTTCTGAAATACGGGTTGAGGAGTTTGAAAAGAAAAGATTCTAGGAGAGGGATATATTGGTATGGTTAGGCTACTTGTCAGAACCAAAATATAGAGATTAGAAAGAGACTATGGAGGGTGGTTTGGTAAGGTTGGCATCCAAATTTTTGGATTGCTTCTTGTCTTAGGATTTGTTGTAATCTATTTGTAATTTACACCACCAAAAGGTACAAAAATGTGTTGTTTTTTACTTGTATCTAAAAGCATAGTTGGACTAATGGTATTTTTTTTTAGCCAACAATCATAAGAAGAAAGATGAAAAGAGTCAAAAAGTGCTTTTGGTTTCATTGGGGTTGAGGACTATGATTTGGTTGAAGTGGAAATTACAAATCAGGGATTTGGGCTTGGTTACCTTTAATGTGAAAGGGGATTATAAGGTTTAAAAAAACTATGGAAAATCTTTTTGGATGAAATACATAAAGCATTTCTGTCAACTATTTGGTCCTTATGGTTAATAAAACTTACATATTGCTCTCTTAATTAGAAGTTAGAATTATCAAATCCATAAGATTATCAATACCTTTTAATGTTGTCTATATATATGTCTAAACTCTAAATCAGCAAAAATATCATTATTTGTACGTTGTAACTAAAAAATAAAAGATGTTTTAAATCCAAATTAATGTTCTTAACGATCTCTGTATAGTATTAAGTATCATTGTTGTACAAAATAATAATAACAATTTTTTTTCAAGGTTATCATAATTTTTTTTTCTAACTTTTCTTAATTTGAAACCATAAACGAAATGGTCTGCAGTACCAAAAAGTATATATATATATATATATATATATATATATATATATATATATATATAAATTCACTAACATTATTAAGTCCACGAACGATGGAATACTACAGCTATAGACGGTGGCCAATATGGGTAACAGCAACAAAAAAAATAATCGTCTGAACCAAATCAACCACCAACGTGATATTAATAACACATAATTTAGAAACCTTAAATTTCTCCATTTTTCTATTTCTTTTTTTCCTTCTTCTTAACATTCTTCCTCAAGTCAATTTTCTCTGGCTTATCTGTTTTCCATTTCTTGCTGTGGGATTTAATTTCTAAACAAAGTAGTTGGGTTATATGATTAGACTAATATCGTAACCGGAGCTAATTAATCATCATCCATGTATGCTTCCTTCCGTATGTACTTCTAGATGGCCGTCAAGATTATACTCAATAGAACTGATTATTGAGTTATGGGGGGCTGCTCTTATAATGATACTGTTTTATCAAAAATATCCATCTAACACGTGTTCAATTGTTCGTACGTTGCAAAACAAAACAAATTACAACCATTTAACATTTCAAAGTACTACAAGTATGGTGATATTGATTGAGAAAGATAACATCCCGGCTGTGCACATCAAATATAGCAAGAAATAAAAGGAAAGCAACATTACAATTAAAACGAGTGAACCCAAGGCAAACTTTCTAGGATCTGGGGGTAAAATTTAAAATCAAATGATTACACTTTGCAACATCTACAACATCCAAGCTGAAATGCTAAAGACAGAAGGATCAAAATCTGGCAATCCCTAAAGTGAGAACTAACACAGTTTAATTCTGGCATGGTTATGTTTATGATACAGGCACCCTATTTTGGTGCCTTAATCCGCAACAAGTAGATTAAAATAAGATGATGCTGTGGTTTTTTTTCTCCTTTTCTCCCCCCTCACATACAGCGTTAAAACCCCTGTACAATGCATCTTTTCATTCTAGATTATGTAAGACAAAGGGTCATCCCTGTTCTTATGATCTTGAACTAATCATCTTCGTCCTCATCCTCATCTTTCTCCTGATCACTTCCAGCCTCGGCATCCTCATCGTCCTCCTCATCCGTCATACTATTAATTGCATCGGTAATTATAGCCTTCACCTCTGTCTTTCGGTGCATTAGATCCACGCCAAAGTGGTCCCCTGATAAAGAATTAGAGAAATATTAGTACCAAGCTGAAAGCAAGTGTTCCAGAGGTCTGTGTAATTTTAATCAAACCATACCTAGTTGGCGGAGGATATCAGACAAGGTAGCCTGCAGTTCAAGAAGCACAAAATTATTAGGCCTTCTACAGTTGAAAATTGTTCTCTGTAAAGAAAAATAGGCAATACTCACCGTGTTGAAATCTACTTTCTTCAAAATCGACGCTACCACTGTATGCATTTCCTCTTTGCTGGGTTCCTCTTTAGCTTTCTTCACAGTTTTCCCTTTTCCTACAACAATAGAATCTCAGGAGCATATAATCTTAAAGAAGCATAACATTGCATAAAATGATCTTTGATAGGAGGATTATGAACAAATTACACGTCATCAAAGCTAAAATTCTAGAAGTTCGCAGATAAAATGCCCGCATGCAACCATATCATCATCTTTAGGTGTCCCCCAAATCTTTCATTAATTGTAAACTGTATAAGATGATTATGCTGACGACTCTACATTATTAATTGAAAGAATTAGGAACTGATGAATGTAAACTGTATAAGATGATTATGCTCACGACTCTACATTATTAATTGAAAGAATTAGCAACTGATGAATTCAAGTCAAGATCGACAATAAAGAATAGGATGCTCCTTTTTCAGAATTATGTACGAGAACAAATGCATCCAAAATAACATCTATAAGAATCTAGAAGCTAACAATAAACAGCAGGGTACCTGAATCATCTTTTGAAACTTTAGCCGACGACTTGTTTGACTGCTTATTGCCAGATGCTTTCTCTTTTGCAGAACCATCCCCTCCTTTCCCACTCTCCTTTTCAACCTTCTGTTTTTTAGAACTTTTGGATTTAACCGAGTCAGATTCGGAAGAAACTTTCTTTGGCGTTGAACTGGAAGACTTTTTGTCATCTTTAACAGAGCTTTTTGGAGATTTTGCTGGCCCGTCCTTTTTAATTGCTTTAGATTTCTCCTTACTTTGCTCCCCAGATTCCTTCTTAGCACTTTTCTTTGAAGAACTTATCTCGCACGATTTCTGCTTCTTGGATTCTTCCTGCTCCTCCCCATCTTCATCTGAATCATTCTGCTCCTCGCCACTCTCTTCTTTGGCAATCGCATCATCTTCATCCTCCCCAGAAGAGTTCTCTTTGCTGTCAGAATGGTCAGCATCGCCATCTTCTTCTTCATCCTCACTTTTAGACATATTTTTGCGCTTTTCCCCAACTGAGGAGTCTTTTTGTTTCTGCAAAGCAATAGAAATAATATTACATCAGGCACAATATATAAAGATATTTTTGCCCAATCAAATATCTAACCGGTAATACATGATAGATGTATACATTCCACAGGAATTGCAATATACTGTAGACAACATGTCTTCAAAAATTTAGGTCATGAAGGAACTTCCCATGTTATTTTATATAATAAAGACCTACAATCATAGCAAAGATACTTCAAAGAAATGAAAGATGTGCAAAATAGACCAGACCCAAAAATTCACATCAGTAAAGAAAGCTCTACATCCTGCATGAAAAAAGTTGATACCTCATTTGAAATAGATACCGCAAATTGTTATCTTACAGACCACAAAGTGCTCAAGGAAATGACAAGGTCAAGGCAGAAGACCAAATAAACAAACAGGAGATGCATAAAGATATCCTTGAAATATACGCAGACTAAGAACCACCGAAAAGATTTGACGTAAGAAAAGGCATTTCCATACTAAGCAGCCTTCTGTCAACACTGTATTTAAAACTTACATTTCAGTCCCAAGGACATGAACTCAAACACAACTGATTCTATTAGAATTATCCAAGAGACCATAATAACTTTCTTCTCAAGCCATGGATGCATTATAGAGGGTTGGTGAACAGACCACTAAAAAAGCTCACAATAAAGGCTTTGGATAGTTCAAAGCCTTTATACAACTTGGATCATATCTAATATGTTTTCCTTGTGCAAAAGCTCCCAATATATACAGATAAACTAAAAAGACAAAATTTGACTGTGTACAAAGACTAAAAGAGAGTTGACAACGAGATTTCAAGAATTGAAAGGTTGAAGTCACTCAGAACATCAAAATGACAAAGAAAAATCACAAGCCAGTGTTTATATCTTCAGCTACCAGACATAAAACAAAGATCTCAATTCTTTTTAAAAAAAAAAAAACCTTGAATATTAACATTCAGGATCTATGATCCTATGCATCAGAATGTGCTCATTCAAGTGCCATTCCATTTTCAGAAGGGGAAAAAAGAACAAAAATCTATTAAAAAAAAAAAAAAAAAATCACACGATTTATTAGTTAGCCTGGATGATCTCAGATGACAACCTTAGCAAAGAGATTCACTGACTTCAACGATCAAGGAAGATGGTATACGGACTACTTGATTTAACGCACAACCTTCTCATGTAATAGCTATCAGTCCAAGCAAGACACAAACCAGTAATATTACTTAACATCAGGGAGAATGTCAGCAAAAGTATTAATGCAGATCCCAATGCTATCAACTACTTTACCCAAGCACTTCCAGCACCTTAAAGCAAGACCAATCGAGTTGAAATCATAATTTTCCATAAGTAGGTTAAACTTAGATGAAGAAAAACATGATTGATAACAGAGACAGTTTAGTCCATAAATCAAACTTTTGCTCTTAGAACTGGAAAACATTGGACATCACATCAAGTGAATGAGCTCACCCATTGTAATTTGAACATACACAAAGATTTCAACAGGAGCAAGTTACAAATCTGTCTTTTTGAGACTTAAAAACACAAAAACACAAATCGATTTATACCCATTTATTATTCTGGGAGGATGTAGATTTCATAAAACTAACATGTCATATAGTCAAATGATTTTTGAAGCAGTTTTCAATAGACAAAAATGCAAACTACAGAAATAACTATTTCCCCTTACAAACAACCACACGCAGAACACAAATGCAGCATAAAAGGTTATAAAATAGTCCACATTGTAGATTGTAATTGCATTTTTTTAGTACACTTTAAAATGTGGGAGAGTGGAACAGAGGGAGCACCATTCTACACTTCCTGACATAATCTTCCAAGCAAGCTGTATCTTTTTATCAACATAAGCAAAAACAGACAATTGACTAAGGAAATGGATTGCTTTGTAAGGAAAATCAGGCCAGATCAGAAGATGTTCTGTAATAAACTCCCTACCCCCCAGATTCTTTTTCACATGAGATTGAAAATTACTAGTGACCAACACTAACCTTTGCTGACTTTTGTGAATCTGAAGAGCCTGAGGATCTCCTAGATGAAGCTTTCCCCTTTTGTTTCTTACTCTTCTGATGGGTAAAAGCAGAAAAAGCAATTTACAAAAAATTATGATAAGTAAATTAGACATCCAGGGTTTGAATCCAATCAAACGAATGAGACAACAGGGGAGGGTAAAGAGCCACCTTTTCCTTGTCAGCAAGTAATGTTTCAGTAGTAGCATGTGGAGATTCAAGGAACTCCAACAACTTTGCTGAGAGTTCTTCCTGTCACACATTAATATGCCTTTAAAATCACTGCAAACTTCAAAAGATAACAAACTTGTGGAAAATATATGCAATAACTTGCCTTTTTTGAAGAAGTTTTACTAGCTGGGATATTGAGGATCTCACAGAAATAAAACAGTTTCTCTTTAACACATTTGTCAAGCTTCTCCTTCAGTTTTCCCCTTTGCTTTTCCTCCTGGAGATAGATATGATAAATGTCAATGAACTCTGAATCAAATCAAAGCAAATATAGCAAACTTTCAAAACATTACAAATAGCTACTCATTTTCACGGCAACTGCATGCCATCCATTTGGATGATACACATGGTACAACATTTTCACTCAGTCAAAAGGTTGGTTGGAGAGCAAAAACTTAACTCTTTTTATACTTTAAATAAATAAAGTCAGCTAATAATAATATGACTAATACTCTCTTTCAAAAATTTCCCAGGTATAGTCTGAAAAGCAGAAAGCTTTTCTCAATTAATTCATAGACTGCTAAAGCTAAATTTACATGGTCTGATACTCTGATATCCAGAAAGTTATACTCGATCAATTCATGAACCCCAAAAGCTTATTCTATGTAATCATAGATTCGTAAATGCTTATATAGATAGTGGACTGAACCATCCAACCATTATACCCAATTAATTCGTGAACCCCAAAAGCTTATGCCATGTAATCATAGATTCGTAGATGCTTATATAGATGTATGTCTAGCAGACTGAACCATCCCACTATTATTGCTACCAATCAGAAAGAGAGGTGCAAAGATGTCATTCAAAAACTAAAAACCAGAAAATGCATCAAACACCTATCATAAACCTTGGAAGATAGCAAAATTTGTCAATTTGTCAAAAGACATTGATTTTCAAAAAAGAAAAAAGCAAAAAGAACTATACCTCACTTTCAATCCAGGCAAATCCTGAAAACATTCCTATATTTTTCTTCAACATATTTGCCTGCAATTTAAGACAACAATAAGCAACGCACAAGAACACTATGTAACACATAATTCCACTCAGATACAGTATTGAGATCTATACATCCATAATTCACCCAGGACAATAGAATTCAAGTTACCAAACAGGAAGGCATTCTTAGTTTAGCCACAATGTAACTAACTGAATGAATAAAATACACCATACTATTAACAAATAAGCAGTAGTCTTACCTTTGTTTTCCTGCCAAATAAGATACTGTGAAGCATCTGCATGTTCTCATCAGCTTTCTTTTTGGATAACATGTATGCCACTGAAATATGACAAAGTCCCAAGTGAAACCATTTGCAAGGTGAAAGAATAACAAATAAATCCTACTTGCACATTAAAAGAATAAGGGACAGTCAAACATCAGAGACTCGTTATTCTAATCCAAATTTGAAACATAAAGCAAGTCACTTGCAAAGACAGAAGTGACTTGAGTCTTTACCCCACCTCCATCACACTGTATTAACACGATAAGGACTTTTATGAGGAATGAACCACCATTGGTCACACTAATTGAATGTTCATACAATAACAAAGTAACAAACAACTTCCGGCAATACGACAAAGTGTGTCTATACATATCAAAAGCAATGGTGGTTGCTTTTGTATGCTGCAGCTTTACTAGTATGATTTATCAAAATATGCCTTATACAGAACAGCTTTCAGGGAAATATGTCTCCGACACAACAGCGTGTCTACACAATTTGTCACATTCGCATTCAGACACCACGCAGATGTTACATTCACAAGAACCAGAACTGAATCTTTGGTGGAGCATAGAGGCAGAATAATCCATCTTTATGTGACTTATATCCCAAACAACAAATGAGTAAGAATCAATAAAGTGAACAGACGAAAGGATTAAAGATTGAAAGAAATAGAAACCAGAGACCCCCTCAACAAGGTTCCACCGACAATAGTGGTTGGAGTTGTATTAATAATACTACACATACCTTGAACTTATACTCAGAAATCCGATTGTAATCCATAGCATACTGAACAATACATACTGCACATTTTAGCCAGTTCACCATTAAATTTTAGTTTGTTTATTTAAAATACACAGTTTTGTTAAGCAACCATTCTGAACAGACTTAAATAGTCAAATAGTTTTACCAAATTTATTGGTTACCATTACAACTTCAGAGGAGATCATAGAATTTGGAGAAAATTTTTGTTCTAGAGAAATCAACACTTACAAGCAGTGTCTACCCCCCCACACACACACACACAAAAAAAAAAGAAACCTTAAGTACATAAAAAGGTAACATTTTATCGCCAGATACTAAAGGAAGCTTATACTATAGTGCTGAAGCATTTTGAGCATCACCCTGAATTGCCTTAAAGGAAAGAATTTCTAACCCTGCATAGCAATTATACAAATTACAGATAACTCTTTCATAAATGACAAGCACCATAATAAGAGCAGTCAAAATCCATTACTTCAGAAAAATCTTTGACAAATCCCCCCCTTGATAATCCCACCAACCAGAAGAAAGGACCATAACTCATCCATAAGTGGTTACAATGTCATATTTAAAAACTTTCAAACAACTCAAAGAATACTGATTTATTGCATAATACCAACTAAATGTAAAATTACAACAAATCTGAAAAACAATACTGAAACTAACTCAAATCATACCATTAGGAATATCCTTAAGTGAGGTGCCCCGACCCTGCAAAAAATCCATGGACCAAAATCCAGATCAATTTCCTTTTCATCAAATCACTAAAGCACAAAACTTACAGACAAATTCAGAGCAAAGTTTTTACCTTTTCGATAGAGAACGGCTTCGGTGAAGTAACTCGAGCAGCAGCACTCTCAGTATATCTCTCCACAACCTTCCTCTCCCTAGTCGGCCTATCAATTGTGGGTGTTGCCGGCGGAGGCCTCTCCTTTCTCTTCCTCTTCTCTTTCCCTTTTGTCGAAGAACCCTTCTTTTCCTCATCAATTTTATCCTCCCCATCATCAGACTTAGCCGTATCAACTTCCATTTCTTCTTTCTCATCCTTCACCTCCTCATCTTCAGAACCCTTTTCTCCATGCTCTTCTTCTTCTTCTTTCACTTCCTCTTTCTCCTCCTCTTTAGCTTCCGGGTCTCCTTCATGCTCCTCTTCAGCCTTCGCCTCCTCTGCCGGTGGTTGTGGCTTTTGCTCTTCAAGGGTTTCGTTGTCCGAAGCCATGAACCCAAATCAAATCAGCTCCAGAGCACAGATGTACAGTGAGTGTTTTAGGGCTTTAGGGGAAAAGGGTTTTTTTTGCTAAGGCAAGTTGAAGAAGATGGGGACGAAGAAAACTGGAAACGAAACTGGTGTGAGAGTGTGATGAAATGGAATGGAAAAATGGTGGGAGAAAAAATGGATCAAAAATTTTTTTTGGAGGGGGCGGGGAGATTTGGGTGGGTTTTTTTCGCGAATTTGCGGGTTTTGAAAAATTTCGTGAAAATCTGTGTCGAATTATTAGCGGGCTCTCTTCCCTCTCTCCCAACTCTTTCGCAGAAGGTTTTTTTTGGGGATTTTCTCTCCCCGACCCCCTAAGAAATGAATAATTCTTTTCCTAACCCAAAAATATTGATAATTATACCCCTATTGTCGGTAATCTAAACGAAGAAGTCATTTTTGCACATAACTTATCTCGTACCAATACCATCTTGCAAATGAACCTTATTACAAAACCGACAAAATTATTAATCCATATAATTATACTGTACACATAATTAAATTCTCACGTCCTTTTATAGAAGTATAAGAAAGGTGCACGCTCTCTTTATTACAATCTAACTTTATTGTTTGAGTAATCAAAAAAAATAAAAATAAAAAATTCTACATCTTTAATTTCGAATATAGTACAAACAAGTTTTAACCGAATAACTGCAGCAATCAAGATACATCGTTTGACTTTGCTTTGCTTCCACCAAACATTAGTCTTTTCCTTCGTTACTCAAACAATCAAACCTCTAAAGTGCAATTTTATAATATTGGATAAGGGTAATTTTTCTACTACTTTTTGCAAAATAGGAGCAAAGTAAGTCTAAAAAACAAACAAGTGCTTGAATGTTTTTATCACTTGAGTTTCACAAATTTCACATTTACATCCTAAATATTCATGTTCAATCTTCATCTTACCACAACCTGATGAACTTGAAAGCTGGTCTCGTGGATTTGCTATGAATAAATGCTTTGCTTCCTTTACTTGTGTTGAATTTTGGGTCTTATTTCAACGTTTAACCTTAACATTAGAGTTGGAATATCTTCAAATGATAATTGAAGTTGACAGTCTTTGTGTAGTGAAAATAGTCGAGAATAAAGATTTTATTGCATTCATAGGGTCTAGTTCGAGCTACATATAAATTGGCCATTCGTCTTTACAAATTAATCATATATTTTAAGAATCGAATTTCACAACAAATTATATAGCATATCTAGCTATCAGTTACCTAGTAGACTTGTATTAGGTGTATAATATTCTTATGTCATCCGGAGTAAATATATGGTTGGAGCATAATGTGATCAAGGTCTTCTATTCGCGAAATGTCTTAATTTTTTTTTTGCTAGACTCTAGTCTCTTTTTTTTAACGCAAAAAAAAAAAAAATAATAATAATATGAAATTTTTATTAAAAAAAAATCTTACTATTCGTTTTATAGTTTGCACCCTTTCCTTCCAAATTATCAACAAATAAAATCGTGATTTGGGACATTACGACGACACCAAATAATGGTTGTTTCTATAAATTTTTACAAAGTTCATTTAAGCCAAAACCTATAATTATTTTCAAATTTCAAGAGTTGTTCCCTTCTATTTGCCATAATTCAGCCCCTACATTCTTGTCAGTGATTCCATAATCCCATCCTACTAAGGGAATTCATCTCCCTGTTTCTTTTCACACTTTTTTGTTCAGTGTATCAATATTTTTATGTGACAATATAAAGTTTAAATCTATTAAGTTCGTATAGTAATTGAAACCGAATTTATGAAGAATAACTCTCAACATAAGAGAGGCCTTTAATGTTCTAACATTTTAAACGTGACACTATTATGTCAACAAAAACATAACAATTCATTTGAAACAATTTTTTATAAGAAAGTGGCACTCCTAAGTATCTCATATGAAAATTACATTCTTGAAATATAATGGCATGACTAAATTATCCTCTCGCTCCATTTCCTAATCAACCAAAAGTATTATTATGAGTTAGCTACTAAACCAGAAGCACTAGAAAAGTTCATGAAACATTTCAAGAATATTGTCTAGTTTAAATCTATCATATTTGCAAAATAACAACAACACGTTACCAAAGAAAATATTTGTAAGACTTTTACCAAGAGATAGAATTTGAACATGGGATGAGCAGCAATACCCTTCACTAGTCGAGTAAATATTCCACGCGAGAATAAATACTAAAAGGGATACCGAATAACCATAAATCATATTCTCCCAACAACGAAACTAACAAAAGACCGGTCAAACAGAAAACTTTATTAGATAATCACTTAACATAGTCACATAAAATCTATTTAAGCACTTAACATAATTAAGTGTGTTTGATAGTCACTACTAAAAAATTTTGATAAAGGATGACCTAAGTAAATATTTATTAATTATGTTTGATAAATAATATTAACACTTTCTAAATGAAAGAAGTGGTATGAGTTCATTTGTTAGTCAAAATATAAGTAACAACCTTATTACTTATCATCTATAAACGATAATCTATCTATAATAATAACTTTCATTATAGCAAAAACTAATTTTTGTTCAAAATTCCAAATGTCATGTTATCCTTAAAAGTCTCTTAACCCAAAACCAAAATATAATAAAAAATAATAATAAAGAAAAACAATTTGGACGGAAACCATTTATTTTCCACAAAAATAAAAAAACCAAAAAGTAGCAAATCCGGCCATCACATAATTGAGATCATATCCATTTGATTAACATATCCTAAAAAGTAGTGACAAATTATATCTAAATAATTCCTTGATAAGCCGTAACTGTTTATATTCCTTCATTAACACTCTTTAATCACAAATTCACGTTTCAAATCCTTGTCTTTATTTCGCATTCATCATCGCTTCATAATTTTACAAAATCTAAATTTCATTCTCTAACCAAGGGAAATTTCATTGTCTACATTCTATCTATTCTCTATACTATTGATGCATTCTTCTCCCAATCTAGAAGCACATATTTGTGAAAACTGCAACCGAAAAAACCGTCTCAAAGTTCATAGCAACAGGATCATTGATGATGTCAAACCCGAGAATCAGGACAAAGACTGAGTTCCTTCAGACTATCAAAGACTTGTCTTTGGGAGAACTTCTGTACCTATGAAATCGGCATTGGATATTAAATCATGTGTTTCTTCTGTTATAATTGTATTGTTTCTTTTTATTTTCTTAATAATATACTTCATCGCTGATATCTCAACTCCAAGAATATTTGATTCTTTTTTTTCTATGTAGGTATTTTAGAGCAACATTGTACATAGTGATTCGTCTACAATCACGCCCTTGGGCATTACCAATGCGGAAAATCTATAATCTATCTATAATTTATAATCTATAACCCCCATTATAGCAAAAACTAATTTTTGTCTAAAATTCCAAATGTCATATTATCCTTAAAAGTCTCTTAACCCAAAACCAAAAAATAATCAAAAAATAAATAAAGAAAAACAATTGGACGGAAACCCTTTATTTTCCACAAAAATAAAAAAACCAAAAAAGTAGCAAATGGACATCACGTAATTGAGATCATATCCATTTGATTAACCTATCCTAAAAAGTAGTGATAAATTATATCTAAACAATTCCTTGATAGGTCGTAACTGCTTCTATTCCTTCATTAACACTCTTTAATCACAATTTCATGTTTCAAATCCTTGTCTTCATTTCGCATTCATCGTTGCTTCACAATTTTGCAAAATCTAAATTTCATTCTCTACTCAACGGAAATTTCATTGTCTATACTACTGATGCCTTCTTCTCCCAATATAGAAGCAGATATTTGTGAAAACTGCAACCGAAAAAACCGTCTCGAAGTTCATGGCAACATGACCATTGATGATGTCAAATCCGAGAATCAGGACGAAGACGGAGTTCCTTGAGACTATCAAAGACTTATCTTTGGGAGAACTTCTGTACCTATGAAATCGGTCTTGGATATTAAATCATGTGTTTCTTCTATTATAATCGTATTGTTTCTTTTTCTTTTCTTAATAATATACTTTATCGCTGATATCTCAACTCCAAGAATATTTGATTCTTTTTTTCTATGTTAGGTATTCTAGAGCAACCTTGTACATAGTGATTCGTCTACAATCACGCCCTTGGGCATTACCAATGCGGAAAATTAAGGATTGATTGGAAGTTGAAAATATTGATAACAAGAAGTAACTGTCAAGATCTGAAAATTTTGACCGTCAAAATATATTGAAAACCTTTTCTTATGGGAATATTTCAATTTTTGCAATAAATTAGTTTGAAGAAAATCTATCAATCATTTTTACAGTTAAAATATACTGAAAACCTTTTCTCTCTTTTCTTTTCCGTTCTTATCATATTTTTCCTTTTCTCTTTCATTTTTTTCTAAATTACTTTATCACAATTGGACTTAGTACATATTAATATTATGAAGTAGTATGTAATTATCATTTATTTGCATTCGATCACACGACAAAATAATATATCATGGTGTCGTACTCCTGTTTCAAATGATTGTTCTTTAAAAATTCAAATTAGATAATCATTCGAGAAGGAAAAAAAACTATTTTTACGACATTTTTTGTTTATTCACTTCAAAATTATTTATATTGAAACAAAAGATATTAATAATTTTTAAACCCGTGCGAATGCACGGGTCCAAAATCTAGTACTTTTTATTTTTATTTTCCCCTCATCTCGTCTTAGAGTGATTTAATTTTTTGATATTTCTTTTACTACTACTATTTTCCCTAGGTATGTTAGTTAAGCTCAAATTTGAACTTAACTTATGAGTTTGAAACAACATCAAAATTTCGAACTCAACTAAAATTAGTTTTTATAGATAAATTTGTCAAATAAGAAACGGTCAGTGTAATGATACAGAAGTCCAACGTCAAAAATGAATATTATGACTCAATCTTTTATTTATTTAGTGCAGATTTTATTATTTAGTTAATTATTCAATAGTGGTTTAGAATTATAATTAGGAGATAAGATGTAAAAGTAGTTATTAGTGGGAGTCATGGGTCAGTGGGAGATAACCTCCCTAGTTAGAGTCTATTTATATGATTGTATTTTTATTTTACCGGTAAGAATAAATTGGTGAAAAATGGCTTTTATGCCAGAATTCTGCCTCTCTCTATTTTCTGGAGTTTGATCCGACTCGAATAGGATCGTTACATTGGTGCTTTCATTGAGATATTTTTTTCTCTTTTGAGAGTCATCATGACTTCAATGAAAGGATTAATAACCCATCTTTCTAAAAGTATCAAAGATATTCAAGTTCAACAAGTTCGACAAAAGAA